CAGGATTGAGGGGTCAAAGTCGACAAGATGGGCGGTTACGGGTGGATTCTATTATGGTGGGGAGTGGTGGGAGACTACGGGGGAGTTGTCCGACCTCTGCGGAGAGATGGTAGGATCGATGTCAATCAGCGCAAATATCACGGCGAGACAATCCTGCATATGATGACTGACAATGGGAGAATGGGACGATTGTACAGCTATTGCTTAGTCATGAGAAGACGATTCCGGATCTTCTTGGTAGTGACGGGAGGACGGGGTGTGGTGGACTATCATGAAGGAGCTGTACCGGTTCTGCCTTAGGATCTACCAGCCCGCTTTTGCTATGGGTGTCGTATCAAGGAGGGGGGGGTAAGAAAGTTACACCTATGACGAGAGCAAGGCAAGTCCAGTTGTTAGGGGGCGAAACAGTGTTTTACTCACTAAAGCGATTTTGTACTGCAGCCAGCTCATTCGCGTTTATTTAATCACCATCGGGGACCATTCCTCCAATAGGCTGTGTTTCATTATCCCCAGTCACTTATACACTATAATAGGAACTCCCACGGATTTTGATCCTGATAATCGCTTGAGAGGTGACGAAACGAGACCGACAACTCCAAACGTGGTGTTCGGATTTTAGTCCAGACGCAAGCAATCTACAATATCTACGCTTCCTTAGGCACAGGGAAAGATAAATTAGAGCTAACCCCGCCCCACTACCGCGATAACACAAGGCCAATCTTTACCCCCAAACCCACGGTGCCAGCCTTTGTCCCCACTTTAAGCCGCACTGTTATTCCCCTCACTAGCAACCCTAGACCACCAAAGGGTCATAACAAATTTTCCGCGCGTCCCACAGCCACAACAAAAACCCCAACCACAAGCCGCCTCGGGAGACTTCCGCCATGATTGCAATGACCTGGTACCGCCCTCCACTCCCTCCCCTGCCCGACACACCCTACCCTACCTACCCTGAACATCGGCCCGGCCGCCACCTAGGCAAGAAATGTGCGAGTAAAACGCGAAGCCGATGGTGCAATCGATGACTTTAAAAAGTGCCTAGTGGTGCAGACAGGGACCTTTCCAGAGAAGCTGTTGCCTCCCCACCGCCCAAAGAGATTGTAGTAGTGGTACGAACGGGTAGCGGACAGGGGGTCCCTAGATTGTGCTCAAAGACTGATAGGACACTTTTAATAATCATACCACCCTGGTGACTTCCGAGGCTAGCCAAGAGACTTCCTTGGGGATATGGGTTTCTTCTACCTTTCTTTCTCTCTTTTCCCTAGTCGCCTTGGGTTCAGTGTTCCCAACCGTCCCGGGCGGACGGCAGGGCCCTGGCGGGCAATAGTCCCGGGCGTCCCGGGCAGGGTGGGGGAGGACGGCCGGGCATGGCGTCCGTCTTCGATACCGACTCCAGCCCTGCAGGTTGACGGCCGGGCCCTGCAGTCTTACTGAAAATGGAAGCTTCCGGTAGGGCCCTGGCGTCCTTGGTAAGGACGGGCGTCACCTGTAGGGCCCTGCCGGCACCTGCAGGGCCCTAGCGTCATTGGTAAGGACGGGCGTCACCTGTAGGGCCCTACCGATTGCCCGTAGGCTATTGAGTGTATGAAATCATGGCGGAAGGCAGGATTGATTGCAGAGAAGCCACTGGCAGATGTAGAGAAGATGCTTAGAGATTTGGAGGAGAGGGCAACAAGATTAGGTCAGGAAACTAGGACAGGTTCAGATTGCTCAGAACTGGGATCGGATATGAGTACACAGCTTGGTTGATTGATCACCTCGATTGATACCTGGTGTCAAAGTATCATGTTATTTGCATTTGAATTAAAGTCTCTCGTGACCTCAAGCACCGGCTTCACACCAATGATATTTAAAAATAGCGGGTCAAATGAGACACCTGTAGGGCCCGGCCGTCCGTCCCGGGCATGGGTTAGGACGGACTCCAATTTGGCGTCCGTCCCGGGCAAAGGCCTCAAATTCGGCGTCCGTCCCGTCCTAGGCGAAAGACGGACGGACTGGACGCTTGGGAACACTGCTTGGGTTAGCTGATGGGTCGGTTCCAGGCACCATTGTTATTTAGTAATGCTTCAGAAGGGGAGGGTATGGATAGCTGCGTAGACGACTTGCAGGGTAGATCGGTGGGCAGTTCGATAAACGAATGGAGGATAAATGGATGGGGGCTCGAGAGAATACTCGCCGGGGGAGGCTTCGTGGGATCCGTGGTAACTATCGGGGGTCGCCCTACTTCTGATTTCTCTAAAAATGGTATTCATCTAACACGGTTGGAGTTGAGGTATTTTACACAGGTTTCTGCAGGCATTGAGTGAGCATCGGCAGGGATCATGAAGCGGTCAAGGGGGTTTTTTGGAGTGCAAAACTTACAACGTGGCCTGCCGGCAATGAATTGACAGTTATCAACCAAAGGGAGGCGCCATGTAGGGTCTGTAGTGAGGAGACGTTTTCCGACAAAATATCTGTCATTCCTAACTCGCCCACCATAACATGACATAGTTTATTAATCCGTAATGTCCACATGGTGGATGAAAATTATTTCAGAACGGCTACTCCAACTCTTGCATTGTCTCCCATTTGTGCTGCAATCAATTCTAGCGTTGATATGGTTACGGGCCCCAGGTCTAGGTCCTTGGTAGACACGTCAGGGTATCTCCTCCTGCAATGAACTGCTGTCTCTCCGTGGATGGCATCAGCTTTCAATGCCAGTTGCGGGAGCCTAGTGACATGTTGTATCAGTAACTAGTGTTTCCCATGAACCTGTTTGAATCGAGCCCAGCCACTGGCTAGAGCTGGCTCGGCTTGATAGGGAATGGACTCGACCCACTCGAGATCTAACGCAGGGCTCGACCCTCCCAAAATAGCCTGGGGAACTAAGGCGCGAGCCTGGTTTGTTAGTCGCAACATGGTATCACTCGGTAAAATGACTTCCAAGGGGATCCGTATACGAGGAGGATATGTTCCAGATATTAAATGTGAGAAGGAAACTTCAAACCCTACTACGAACATATCAGTTTTCCGCTTAGTCAGCCCCCCAGTTTGTGTAAATCAAGTGAGGACTGTATGTTTATGGAAAATCTAATTGACTCGCTCGGCTTAGGATTCCTCATTGCCCTCGAATATACCGGGTAATCAGCCTCTCATGGGTCCAGGCGAATTTAGGAGTAAAGTAGGACACATGCAGGGCTCCCCGGTCAGAGTCAGACTAAAAAAAAACGCGTGCAAACGGCTTCTGGGGTATCGGAAAACTCAAAATCACCAACCCCCCCCCCCGCGGGCCTCCCAGGACCCCACGGCTGATACAAGGTACCATTAGAGATATTAGTCTCTTTCCCGCTTTCTCCTGCCAATTTGAAATGAAAAATAAATCGTTTAAATAAGCTGGATCTTAGCTCGAGAACTGCTTGAGCCAAAGTTTAGATGAGCGTGAGTCGGCTCGGCTCTGGGATATGTCGGCTCGTGGGGAACACTCTCAGTAATCGTAATCCGTACTGATTGCTTGCACTTCCAATAACTCATAATACATTGTACATTTCAGAAGCACCCCTGCGGAAGCACTTTATGATATCTGTCCTCAGCGCGTAGTTCATTCCTTTCTGAATCCAGTCATTTTCCGGTTTATTCTTTTAGCAATATTTCGAGGCACCGATCCGGCTTACCATCACTTCATGGCAATATGCGTTAGTTGTCCACTAAAACAACTCGCCAGATTGCACGGAACCTAGTGTCTTCTAGTAAAAACATTCTCATACCTAAATATTTGTCACACCCATACCCAGGTTGCAGACAGAGCTGTCCACAGGGGATGGCACCCGACAAGACGCCGCCGAAAGAACCTTGCTTCAACGATGGCCCCGCCAAGAAGTGCAGTGACTGTGTACCCTGTTCCCGACACTCCACAGAAGCGTGGTGCAAACAGGCATGGTGGTGACAGAAAGCGAGTTGTCTCAGCAGACGGAGATGACACGGCACAGGGAGAGCTAGTTTGCTTTCTACTGCAGTTGACCGGAAGAACCTTCTCGCAGCAAAATATTCGCAAGGCTCGCTAAGGTTATCACTTCTCTGACCCCGCTCACAATCTACCTGCAAGGACCATCTTACCTTTCTCACTTTGGACAAACATACCCCTATCCTACAAGCTGGTCTCTCAGCAAAAAGCCATACCCTCATCCTCCCGTTCCATTGCTTTAAACAAGGAAGAACCCTCCTATCTGGTAAGTCCACCTGTGTTAACGAAATACACTCCTATCCTGCATGTTTCACACGCTAAAAAAAAGCTATCTTAGTCCTGAAAGTTGCCCCCGGGCCTGCTGAGGAAACGTAGCTTTTCCCGGCTTGTTTCTCCCATTGGAGAAAACTGACCCTTATCTGGCAAGTTTGTCTCTCTGGAACAAACAATCCCCTCATCCTACCTGTTTCCTTCTCGGGAAAAAAAGTCCTAGGACCCGTAACCTGTGAGTGTCTCCCTTTGGAAGACGCACATCCTTATCTCTCGTCTATCTTACCAAAAAGAATAGTACCCTCAGTCTAGAAGTCGCACGCCCTCGCGAAACGCACCACCGCCTGGTTTCTCCCACTGGGAAAAAATACCCTTATTCTCCGGGAACCACCACGCTACATAACCCTAAATTTCCTCAATGAGGTAAGATAGTCTAACTTCCAAGAGCCGCTTTTAGTCAAGTGGCTATGATACTGTATTCTGTTAATTAAGCAAGTCACGTTCAGATTCAGTGGCCATCTCTAGAAAGTTTAGTACCGCAACCATTGCACACTGCAAGTGTCTATATAAACCATGGATTGTATGTGCCAAGAATTTGATCCCCAGCTTCCCGTGTTGACCTCTTACACCAGCCCTCGGTACCTATGCGTTGGGAGTTGAGAACACTACGCACATTGAGAACACAGACTCAAGCATCAACATCAGGTACAACTATCCAGTCATTCTTGCCCTTCCATCCTCCCATAACATTGACCTTCCTCTGGGTATGACCTCGTTACCCAGCAGTGTGATGGTTCCTCCCTCCCCTATCTCCTCTCAGGAGGCCAACCACTACTACCACGGTCTGTACTCAAGGCCAGTTCTAGTAGCCCGTACAGGAACGATTCTTTGGAAGCCTCCTGTGAGCCCGCCAGGCTACTTCCTACGAAAGGTACTTCTTAGTGTTGGCAATCACCCCCTTACCGAACTTTGGGAGGCGAACCTTGCACTACAAATTCATAAAATCCTGGACTCTAAGGAGATAAAGTGGACGAGTACAGATGTGGTACGTATTGGTGTGGTTGGAGAATCAATCACACCGGTAATCATCTGGATTGGTGTCCAGCCTGATACACTCTCCTGGGAAGCGGGCTACTCGGTTGCTATAGAGTGCAAGGAGCTTCTTGTGGCAAACCGGATACTGGATGTTGAGGTCGAAATCCGTGAGTCTGTTGTGACTCGCTATTCTGGTCCTACCTTTGCCAAGCCTGCTGCCTTGGGTGACCCCACTGCAGAGCTCCTCGAGCCGCTTACGTCTACCCTTGGCCTTTCCATCTGCAATATGTGTAGTGAATGGGCTGAGGGTACTGGGGGCTTTTACGTTCGTGATAAGACCAGAGACTCTAAGCTCTATCTTGTTACAGCTCGCCATGTTGTACTCCCAACGCGCCCAGACGATACGGTCTATGAGCAGAAGCGCTCCAGTCAGCCTTATGACAAAATTGCCCTTTTCAGTAGTACCGCCTTCATCAACTATCTTGAACGGATCACGACAGCGATTGCACGAAAACAGATGGTCCAAACATTTCAAGCACGAGTTGTTGAGTCTCTGAGGGGATCCGAGGAAATCGTTTCTTGTTCAGCCACAACGAATCTAGCATCCCAGGAGGCTCTCCTACAAGAGGCTACTGAGGCGATTGAGGCTATGAAGATACTTTACAAAAATGTAGTAAAGAGTTGGGACACCATTGAGAATCGGATTATTGGCCACCTCCGCTTCTCCCCCCCCACTCCAATATTGTGCTGGGTCAGCTGGGTATACCCAGGACTACGCCGTGATCGAGCTCGACAAATCGAAGATCAATGATGCCACTTTTGCTGGCAATGCGATTGACCTAGGGACTCAGATAACCCCCGATGAATTTACATGTCTGATGTTTCCTAATCGTACAGGCCGGCACGACTTCAAGTACCCAGTCAACCGTCTCTTCCCAGTGCGAGGTGTGGTCCCGGATGACGAGATGCACCGCCCAACGATGGTGGACCAGCAGGACAATGCATGCCTTATTGTCATGAAGCGTGGAATCAGTACTGCACTAACCATCGGCCGTGCCACCAATCTTGTTTCTTACACCCGTAATTACAGTGACGGCAGTGAAGCCACCTCCACTGAATGGGCAATATTAAACTATGATGACAACCATGGCCCCTTCTCCAGAAGTGGTGACTCTGGATCTGCTGTTATTGACTGCCTTGGGCGCCTCGGTGGGCTTCTCACGGGTGGTAGTGGCCTCACTGACCGCACTGATATTACATACGCCTCACCAGTTTCCTTTATTTTCGAGAGCCTAAAGGATTATGGCTACAACGTTACCCTCAATACAACTACTACTACCCCGTCCTCCTCTTGATGAACCAGGTGTACAATGGGCTGCATCGATCAGTTCTAAAGTTGGTTGCGTGGGAATTGGCAGGGTGGTATGTGCATAGAGATGGAGGGGTCGGAATACACTGAGCTAAAGGCTCGGAACTCAACAACAACATTAGAGGTGGTGGTTGGTCCTCAGGAGGGTATTTGTGTATGGGGTTCTTGGTCTTTCGCTCTTTGTGCGATTGTCTAGTTTGGGGGTCGGTAACCGGCATGGTCCTTTTTTCGGTTGGCCGACTTATTCTGTGGAGGTATGTGAGCGGGGGTTGAATCGGTAGCTGGCGTTTTCGTTGGCGTTGGCCAAAGGGCGTTTTTTTTATGTCATGGGGGATCTTCAGGGATCAAGTGTCAAAGATACTATAGGAGTCGCGCTTTTCTCCACTTGACTCAAGCCTCCTTAGGAATACCGCTCGGTTGTTGCCCTCTCCTAGTGACTAGACTTGTGGAGTCGCAGAACACCGGAGTGAAATGTAACCCATCGCACCGGCTATGCCTTCGTCAGCCCCTGCCTCAGGATTGTATCACTAGTTATCTGTCGGCGGAGGGTTCTGTTGAGACCCCTAGACACCTGAAGACGCCTGGCAAGCATTGGAATTTACTGAAGTACGGTAGAGATACCAGGGTTAAAAGGTGTGCGGAACTTAAGAACAGTATGTCGGAGTTCTTTCCTTGTCCGACCGCGGGACGGTTCCACAAAAGATACCAGCCCGATTAGCTAAATTAAGACCCTTAATTGTCCATAAATATTTTATAAAACCCACTCCGCTTCTCATGGCCTTGGTGGTTCCATGCGTGAAACATAATCTGCCGTTTAAAAACAAATCTCGTCACGATGTATGCCCAAGCTGTCATTCCGTTCGATAGTTGAGCACGCGCGATACTGAGCGGTAGACGGCGTGAAGGGATTTTCTTGGTCGTGAGTTGTCCGATCGTTTCGCGTGGGACCCCAGCGTCTCGTGCCGCGGTGTTCATTACGCACCGCACCATTGGTTATTTGTTGTACCCTTTCGCTGTTCGCTGGTTTTGGTTTAATTTCACAGCGCATCATTCGTTCGTTCGTTCGCTCGCAATTAGTTTTTCTATCCCTAAAGCTTTCGCCGACCTGACGTTTAAAGAGTGTTTTTTTTGGTAAGGTTGAGGACCGGGATCCTAAGTACATACAGCGGTATCTTACTTACCTGTAAAAGGGTCATTTGGCGGTGACGTTATCCTGCACTGTTAACTGAGAGTACTATAGGTTATATCTCCGTATCATATTTCGGGTGCATTGTCCGTCTTTGGATAGGTGAAACCCTACCTCAACCAGAGAACGTACTAATCTACAGCAACTAGCACCCCCGTCCCCGCGTTTTTTTCTGGAACTTGCAGGACGGGGTGGTGGCATGTGCCCTGGGAGGGCTGGCTGCAGGAAGATCAAGATGGCCGATCTCGGTTGGGCGCAATCTAACAGCTAGCGGAACGGATGCGGATGCTGAAAGAGATGCCTAGTATCACAGCCGGTCTATCCCTATATTGTTTAATCGTGCACCCGAGGCCCGTAGGGATAGTTCATCCCCACGAGAAGTCCTTAGCCCAACGTCATCAGCATAATATTATATCAATATCAAGAGTGGGGCTTAACAACTCCTACACAATACCCGATCTGGAGCCACAGGTTCCACCAGTAACACTCCCTCTCCTACTGAAAATGCAAACAGAGTGAAGATGAACCCCCTACCTCCATTGTTATGAGATGCCGGCTGAGAAGACTAGAAGGTAAAGAGGGAAGAAATAAAGATGTGGAGTTGGTAGTTTCAGATACGAGTATCTTGTATCTTTTGTTGCTTATCCTTTTATCTATGGAACAGGAAAGGACTTTATATAGACAAATCAAGAGCACTCCCAACATACTGTTCCAGCCACCACAAGTAACAAACAATCACAAACATACAGTGCTTCTCCGGGAAACCCTCCGGTGGGTCCCATACAATGCCGGAGTTCTAGTACCTTCGCTCGATGAGAAATCCATGACCCAGGCTTATAGAGAAAAATAAACTGACAAAGGAGTGACAAATAGAAAATAACTAAGAGGTATTTTACTGTTGACAGAGATCCAAGCACACGGAATGATCGCCCGTGATATTCAACAGAAACTTGATCCCTCGCTTGTTCCACACATGAGCGGGAAGGTTATCCTTTATTTTGGACCACTTGTCTCCTACCCAATCGCACCCCGGAATCGGACGGTTCAAGCGTGGAATATGATGCCTCACTTCGGTGTACCTGTCCAAGGCCTGCTTGGACGGAGATTACGATCGCCAAGCACAGCCAGGCTCGCAATAGAGGTAGGCCCTCTCATCAAAGTCTGTTCGTGGGCCGCTGTCAATTTATTAGAGAGGCAACTGGAATAGGGGGGACGGGAAGGAAAGCTTGAGTTTGGGAGAAAAATGACAAGCCTTCTATAGGCATCATGATTCAAGCAATGTTCGTGATGAAGAGAACATGCCTATTTGGACCGGAGAAGCGAGAACTGCGAGAAATCGAGGGGGCGAATCATAGAGTGGTTACCGGGATTAACAGTCGACTGATCTTTTAGAGGAAATGGAGGTTAAGTCCAGTGGGTCGTTGGCAGGCAGAGTCGGTCACCCGCATGGGGGAATGGCTGGTGGCCAGGTCCTGCGGGCAGCGGTTGCCACCTAAGTTGATAGGTGAGACTTCCTGAACTCCTGTAGTGCAAGGGGGCTCTGCCTACCCCAATCTGCGAACTTACATCACCTGGAGCATGCCCGGTAAGGATGTTACCATAGAAACCTAGAAAAGAAAGACAAAACTCGCGCCGCCCATCCATAGCCTCCGCCAGGCTTCTCCGCATTCCTTCCGTCGCGCATCCAAACGTCAGCGCTCTATCGCCAAAGCGCTTTCCCAGCACCGAACTGCTTTGCCGGGAAGACTGCGTGCGCTCCCCCAAGGGCTGTTCCTAAGACGACGCAAACAACACAATCGAACTCTAGGAAAGCAAACAAAGTCCCTCCTTCCTTCCCCTTCACTCGAAGACTCCCGCGCTAACAAAAGAAAATTAACAAACATCACAGCTTCACCCATAAGCTTTCCGCCTTCCTTGCGGCTTTCCTTCCACCCCTTTCCAACCAGCGCACTTCCGCGACCGATGTGCGTCCGGAACCAAAGTGCACTCCCGGTGACTAATAAAGGAAAGCTAACTATCGTGCTAGCAAACAGACAATCGTACGGGCAACAAGGGAACGAAGGAATAGGCGATGCGCATACGGTGAGCGAGAAAACGAACGAACGAATGAACGAGCAACGGAAAAAAGAGGGGAAGAAGAAAAGGGGGGGAGGTAGGGGCAATGGATGGACGGGGCGAGCATGCCGAGCAGAATCTCGGGATTTCCAGCATTGGCCAACCCCAACGCCAGTCCCAGCCGCCGATTAAACACCCCCCTCACGCACCTCCGCAAAACAAGTTAGTCAATCAAAGAAACCCACGATGCCGTTTGTCGACCTCCGGAATAGGATAATTCTATAAATCGCATAAGAGTAGCAACCTCCAGAGATAAATGTGCTTCGGAGAACTAACCACCGCCTCTCATGGGTCTTGAGTTCGAATCTTTGAGTCTGGGTATTCCGGACCTCCCCCCCAGCTCCACATAGTGGAAACGGAACTCTCTGCAGCGGAGAACCAAAGCAAAGAGGTGGTCAGACAACTGCTCAACAAGGACATGTTTATATACTCTCAGGCCTCGTGTCGGAGGGTTATGGGGAGAGCGATGACTGAGATTGACACGAAGGCCCTGGGCACACTCATAGAGTGTGGCATGTCGACCGATATGACAGGCCCTGATGACTGGACACTCTTAGGGAGAGTCGCAGAAGGGGGTTGTTTGGAGACACAGCTAGTGTTGATGGATCCCGGCTTCGACAATCATGAGCGGGAGGGTTTCTGGTGCGAGTCACCGCTTAGCTTTACGGCTGAAAATAAACAAAAACTGAGGTGCTACGGGTTCTCCTAAACCTCCCCAACATACAAATAAATTTGCAGATCGAATTAGCCTCCAATAGACCACTGCCCGGCCCAGCGAATGAGGGTGACCAAAGCCTTGTGGAAATTCTCCTCGCAGATGAGAGCATAAATGTTAATCCTGTGAACTCCAATTGTTTTACACCCTTTTACATCGCGGCTAGAGAAGTCCACAGAGGGGTTGTAGACCTACTACTCCTACGCAAGGACACCAAGGCTGATATCCGGGGATATGTTCCCAACACGCCAATACATAGCGCAGCTTGATTGTTGGTCGTTTGTTCAACGAGGTGTTGGTTGGAAGCCTGGATAGCTGTCAACGCACGCCGCGATACTGGGTGTTGATGCAGGGATGTGGATTGGTTGAGCGGCTGCGATTACAACAAAACGGTGGTAAGGTGAAACCAAGGGGACCAGAGTGGCTGGTGGCTCGTGTGTATCGCAGCAGGCACTGGGAACGGGGCTGCCGGGCGAATCCCGCTACAGGACGAAAGGGTCGCGGTCGACAACAGGGACGCTTACAGGTGGATATCGTTATGGGGGGTAGCGGTGGAATGCCACGGGGAGCGGCCCGGCTTCTGCTCAGCGATGGTCGGGTCAATTTCAATCAGCGCAAAGATTGCGGTGAGAAAGTCCTGCATATCAGGAGTGGTGGCTGGGGGGCATGGGGGGG